GTATGGTGGCCTAAAATTGACAAAGATGCAGAGATATTCGTAAGAAACTGTAAAAGTTGCACATTAGTATCTGCACCAAAGCCACCTAATTCAATGAAACGACGTGAACTACCGGTCGAACCATGGATTGATGTAGCTATTGATCTAATGGGACCTCTACCCTCTGGAGATTTCTTGTTAGTTGTCGTTGATTATTACAGTCGTTACAAGGAAGTAAAAGTGACAAAAAGTGTGACAACGGCCGTTGTTTGTCGCCCTTAGCAAGTGTCGTGATTGCAGCCGATTCTGCCGCGTTTAAATTTATCGCATTTCATCCAAATCACATAATTCTCTTTCTCATATTAATCTTGTGATCATCCTATTCTTATACGCTGTTACTAGGTAACGTACATGCAGTGGCGGCCCTAGCAAAATTTTTACGTGGGGCGAGATCTATAAATATCTATAAATACCTATAAATACAAAACCTTAATTTTCCTTTACTATGCAGTTGCTAATTCGTGATTTTAATTAGTATTAGACTTACCAAATACCTACACAGGTGTATCTGTGGGGCAAGTACAGTAGTGTCTGTCACTTTTGCCATAGCAGTTGTTCTGCTCATTCGTGTTAAAGAAATGTTGTCCATTCCACTCGCACTACTTTGTTGCACTCAACAGCGCCACTGCGCTTGCCCTGCTGTTGTACAGATGAGAAATAATAACAATTAATAATTAGAATTGACAACTTTTGTTTAAACTGTTATGCTGAAAACAGTGCTAAAAAGATAAAAGAACAACCAACAACAAATTAAACGAAAAACCTAGATGACCACTTTTCTGGCATTTGCACTTGCAATTTTTTTATTAATTCGGAATAATTTAACTTCTGAGCAATAGTATTTTCTATGGATTACAAGATAGATTCAAAGATATAGCCTAGTCTTTCCTGACACATAGTAGAAATAATGATTTCTTATGTTTACGCGAAGACTACACATTAAATGCAACTATTTTTTACGGATTTTATCGCGTTTAATTTAATTTTTTAATTTCTGACGTTTCGGGTGCTTTACAGTACCCATGGTCACGGAGTGGACTGAGGTGTTTGACGTCCCGATGTCATAGTTAGCCCGGCTACCTTCAGTTTTTCATAGTAGAAACTAAGTTTTTATAAGTTTAATGTACTGAAACTTCGTTCTCCTTTAGTGACAATTACAGGTATAGTCAGCAAGATACGAAGTGCTGTCCACACATTCGAAAAAATATCCTATAATTTTTAATCAGTCTTTAAATAAAGGGTACCTGCTCATAAGTTCCTCAACCAATTTATGAATAAACATATCACATTCCCCCCCTCCCCCCATTTGTTAAACTGATTTGCAAATCAGCAGATACTTTTTCCAAAGTCCAAGATCCATACCTTTCAGGAACTATTTTCATGTTTGTTCATTAGTTTGATATTTCAAGTGACCAATGCACTTTCAAGTGTATTAATCATAGGGTAAAAAAACGTTCATTTTAATATTTCTTTAGGATACGTTGGTGTCTCGCCTACGGCTTCGTACTCAAACAATCGGTTATTTCTTCGGCATTGGGCTGAATTAAAAATTGGATCTATATGTTATTAGAGCATATGAAACGGTTCACATCACAAATTTAGAGCAGTTTTTCAGAAATTACGAAGCGTTTGATAAGTTCGTAGATTCAGAGTAAATAGCCTTTCTTTCAATGTTAATTTGAAACGATATATAGCATTAGCCATTGTAACTATGAACTCAAATTAGCGACAACACTTTTGATACTGCAACTGAGGCATTTGTTCTTCATGAAGACTTTGGAGGGCATCATGAACTGAAGAGTAGTGAAAGCGAACAGCAGTAAGGCTATAAATTCTACTCTCCCAGCGAGTTACGTAAAGTTTTTACAGCAATAATCCTACTATATGCTTGTATATCTCTTCCTATAGTATTTTTATTCAGAGAATAAAACAAACAGTCTATGAAGATGACTAAATAAAGAAATTGATTTAACGTACGTTTTGGCTGCATCAGCTATCACTAAATTCAAAGCGTGACAACCACATGGATTGAAAAATGTCCGAGAATATTGAGTCAGAATTCTGGTATCATTCTTAACCTCGACAATCATTCATGTCTAAGTCAAACTCTTGTACAATTACATCTAGAAAGAGGCCGGTGAGTCCTTCTTCTGAAGAGTCACTTACCGGCTTGTTAGTGGTAAGAGAGCGTGCATGGTGGTAGCATTTCGGTCGATTTCACATCATCGATTTACACATCAGACTAGGCTGTATGGTATAAGAATTTAGTCTGCCTTGATTGGCAAATCGTTACAACAACAACAACTACGCCAGTATATTTTAAGTATTAGACAACAACTATATTACATGAGTAAAGAAATGGTAAATATATTATAGTCAACCTCAGAGTAATTTACGCCAGTATATTCTAAGTCTATGGTATTTACCATAGAATATACTGGCGTAATCTTCATTTCTTCATACCTGAATGAAAAATATTAACGGTTTAAATTAACATAACTTTAGTCAATAAAGATAAATTTTCAAAGTTCTAAGAGGATCCTATTTCTGCTACGTGCTTTTAGGCTGAAGCAAATATATGCCTTTGCTTCAGATTAATTTAAAAACTAAATGTCACTTTCAATTCTTGAGGCTCGCTATTGGCCAATTTTAGTACGGAAGACGGTCGTCTGTGCGGTAGTACTTTTTATTATAGTTTGTGGGCGTAGAGAGAGAATGAACTACATTGTACATACTCCCTCTACGTTTGTTGGCGTAATGTAATTACTCTAATGAAAGTATCCACGACTTTTTCTGCCACCAGGGCGGCGCCACTAAAAAGTAAGTTATAATATTTGACAGATTTCATAGCGGGGAAGTTATTTTGTTCGGAAAATGTAAAGGTTATTGTTTCTTTCTGCACGATTAGCTATATTTTATATTAATAAGATTAAAAATAAATAAACCATATCACAGATATTCATAAAAGTAGAAAAGTTAAAAAAAGCTAAAAATGTACAAAAAAATTAAAGAGCAAACCACTGACGCATTGTTATGTGTATTAATTTAATACCCTAAAAACTGATAAAACTTTTATTAAAAACCGACTTCTCAATTAAATTACACTGTGTAACAAAACACTTTACCTCAGTGTCAACTAGCGACATCTGGTGAGCAGTAATTATTAGCCCTCATTAGTCGACATAATTTTCAATTACGCTTATATAGGGTAGTTAATACATAGAGGGAACACTAAAATAACACATTAGTTGGGGATGTAGCATGAAGGAGCCAGGTTTTGAAAGAGCCACTTACATTATTTTGGTAGTTTATGAACGCATTTGGTTGGTAATTTTATTTTTAAGTGGCAACACTGATTCCCCGTCATCCACAAAAATATTTGACAGTCCGCCGAAATTATTTAATAAACATAATCTATAAACGCCGTATTGTGCGTTTATAGATTATGTTTATTAAAAAAACCCTTTTTCTTAATAAACATAATCTATAAACGCACAATACGACATAGTAAAGTTTTACTTTATCTATCCTAAAAAAATACAACAATATCACAATGAAGTCAAAAACTAATTATCAGGTAACAAATTTCAATAAATGTTTGACAAAGGAACACCTAAATTATCTAAATCAAACTTTAATGTCCCTCTACGTCCAACTTGTGGATTTGGCAACGTTTTTTCTACATCAAGTAAAGTTATTTCTGAGACATCATCTACTAGTGGCCAGTAAAATGTACCTTTTGAATTTTTTCTTAAGTATTTTATAGTATATACGCTCTCCAAATCGTTGTACTAGATTACTAGACCAATATAATATTTAGCCAACTTTGATGTTGAAAATTTAACAAGAACATATTTATCAATACCTATTTCATACATATCATTTTCTTTATCAATATTTTGTTCCAATTCTTCATACATTTCATCTATGTACGTTTCCGTGTCACTTAAAGATGGAAGAAAATGTTCATCACAAGACGAATCGTGCACAGTATACATTCCTGAGCTTTCTAAACTCGACCCTTGATTGCTTCTACTTTTTGGAAACACCTTTTCATGCTTAGTATAGTCATCTGAAACACTATCATCAAATGAGATTCTATCTGGGATTTTATAATTACATTGGAGAGAATTCGGCTTTTCGTCATAGTTTCATTTGATGTAGTGGCAGTTACCGTAACCAAAGTTAGAAATATTTTTGAATAAAGTCCGGTCATTTGATAAACATAAATTTTTATCAACATTCACTATAACGCCTGGTTGAATGTTGTAAATACTTTTGGTATTTTTTCTGATCAGATCATTCCATATCTCCATGTTTTTGATGTATTTCAGCATTTACTATCAAATTAGTCATAAGTTGGTTATTGTCAGCATCGGATGACGAATCTCGTCTAACGTTTAATGAGACATTGTTAAATGTATAATCCACACGTTGATTATATATAATCAAAGAATCTGCAATAGTTGAATGCGTTTCTTTCACGTCTTCCAGTATTTCGATTTCTTTGGCGATGATATTCTTCTTAGGATTGAGTCTTTTTGCGTTACTAAAAATTGTATCTGGTGCTTTTCGTTTTTGAGTTTTTTCATTTACGAGATCGGTAACAGTTACTGATTTTCCAGGCTCTATAAATATTTTTTTATTTGTATTTCTTATTTGCCGGTTCGCCGGGTTTCTTAATCCTTTCAAATAATTGACAAGTCTCATCGTAAGTAATGTTTGCTTGTGGCCTACGGTAATCTGGCAATTTCTTTAATATAGCTTCTAGATTAATGGGGTGTATCCCAGCGGCACGAAATCCGCTAATTATGTTTTTACTCTGTGTAATTTTTGTTGCATCTAGTAAGATTTTTAATAATTCGGGGAATATTTGTTTGTTTAATGTCTTAGAACTTAGGTGTCGAACTTTGTAGTCCGTTAAAATTCTCCTCCATTCCCTCTTGATTTCTTGAGTTCTCTCATTCTCGCTTTAATGGGCCGAAAAAGGCCACATCAAGAGGTTGAGTGTGGTGAGTGGAGTTAGGTGGCAAAAAGATAAATCTGATATTATGTTCTTCACACTTAGTTATTATATTTATATTCATATGTGACGATAAATTGTCTCCAATTAAAACTTTAGGATCAGTGGTTTTCACTGCCCATGGGATGATTATGGTATTAAACCAATCTTCAAAAGTATACGAATCGAACCAACCAGATTTGGTTTTGTTGTATCTGGTCCCTTCAGGCCCGTTTGTTTGCTTTGTATACGACATATGGTGGGAAAATTTCTCCACCTGCCGTAGCTGAGAACATAACAGATATCGCCGTCTTGGTATTGTTTAGTGTTTTGTTTGGGTATTTAGTACCTGCTTTAAATATGCATTTTTGAGATCCTGGGTTATCGGAAAAGTTGGTCTCATCATAGTTCACTATATGATCTGGTTTGACATTATGCAATGAAATCTTCAAATTTTCAAAATATGTATTGTAGTGCTTTACACTCTTACTGGCTCGGGATTCTTTAATATTATTTGTAGAACGCACCGTCAGGACATTTTTGTGTCGTTTCAAGAAGTTTCTTACCCACTTTAAACTAACATTTTGTTCCATTTCAGACTACATTGACATTACAAAAGCAAAGCAAGAAATTATCTAAAGTAGGTAAACATAATATATATATAGGTCACGCGCCCGCCTCATTAAAATTAATAACAAGTGTCAACCCTAGGCTCGGCAATGTTCGGTACACTTGTTCACAAAAAATGCCAAACTTTGCCTACACCAGTATTTCTCAATAATTATTAGTGTATTTCTATCGTTAAAAACGACAATTTATCAAATTATCTTAGTTTTACGGAATGACTATAAAACAAGTTAGCATTAAACATATTTTAATGACTTACTTGAAAAGTTTTTTCACAACTCTCGTAACCGCCGTTCTACACTTTGATTCAGCACCCGATTGTCAAAAATCTTTGCATTTTACCAACGTGATGTCACTAATTTTGTGTTGCCAGATAATAATTCTAAAAATATATCAAAGTTTCCGTTGTCAGGCTAATAAAATAGAAGAGATATTACTTCTTTTTCATTATGGGCAAATATTGGACCCGTGGCAAAATTAGGGAGTTTGACGTACCCATATCAAATTATTAAAAAAATGTCCGCCATCTTGGATATAAAAATGGATGCCATTTTCGTAATCATCACCCCAATAAACCTTGAAATTGACATCCATATCATACATATATTAAAAAATGACCGCCATCTTGGATTTAAAAATAAATGCTCTTTTCGTAATTAGCACCCCGGCAAACCTAAAAAATGACCCCTAAATCTTAATATTTTATAAAACACTTCGAAAAATCGAAGACGAGGCACTGTAGTATGGTCTAAAACCTTAGCCTGTCCAATCACACGATTTAGATGAAGAAAAAAATTAAACTTCGAAACAGTAATGCTCAGCGACTAGTACCTATTTTTTACGTCCGCCATTTTTTACGTTGGCAATTTGGAATGACATGACAAAATATACATAATATAAAAAATAATAACAATATTTATTTACCTTTCTTCCGTGTGCGGGATTTGGTGAAATCACAGATCTTTATTTATGCGAGATGACGACTTGCAATCTCTCACAGCACACGTCGTATGAACCATTTTAATTATAAGTATCAACACTAAATTTAAAAATTATAAAAGCAAACGCGCGTTAACCCTGAAAGTCGTGTCCCGAGCTACTAATACGATTGGCATGAGCAGCTCGGGCTCGTCCTTCCCACGTCTTACCCCTCACACCCCGCACGATTGCCCTGTCTAAACGTCTTCGTCGGACGACAGTATGGATTTATAGACTGTGGTAATCTGGAGATTTATTAGTCCTCAAATATCTCGTGTACGTCTTATGGTGGCACTTCACATGGCTATTTGTATTTGTGATTGCATGTTGCCGTATTTGGCAAAAAATTCAACGTACGAGCAAATAAGCGATACAACCGTCTACACATGGAGCCAAATTCGCAAAATAGCAGAAAGTAGTTGTACCTACAAAATGGACGTTGCACTTGCAGCTGGATTTTATTATTTGAACGTATGTTACTATTATACTTTTTTTTGCCCCACGTTTCCAGGGTACCAAACGCATGGGTTCATTTGGTAAAGTTCTAGAAACCTTACAACGGTTTCTTTGTCCCAATTAATTTTCCGTAGGTACCTAAATCACTTATTAAACCATTCACTGCCTTCCTTAGAAATGACAACATTACCCCCATGCCGCCATATACTAGTATTCAGCCCGCCCATCGGCGGACCCGGCATCTCGATAAAGTATATTGGCCCGCCCATCGGCGGTTTCGGCATGAGGCCTTAGATTTCGACGTGAGATATTTTAATGTCTAATTTACATGTCCTGTATGTACATTGCGTAGAGCGTGTTTGCGTATATTTTTGTGTTATTCGTGGAAAACATTGTGCCAGTTTCATTTATTATTGTTGTTGTTAACCGAATTATTAATGGAGGGTGAAGGTAAGGCTAAACTTTCACCTAGTTCAATTAAGACGAAGCAAATGTATCTTAATCTGCGTATAAGATAGATTTAAGCACGAGCTTAGTACAAAATGAAATATAAAAGCATACGTTTTAGGATTTTTTTTAAAGTCATGCGTAGTCAACCTTTTTGTATGTTTAATTTTTTTCCCACGTCTTACCTCTTTTGCATAAATTCCTACCTATGAACGAAATATTCGTTCACAGGTAGGAATTAGGCAGAGGAGATAGTTTCAACTCGATGCACTTAGTCAAACAGCAAAGGAACTTCCAAAACACTCAGCAAAACTCAAGTTGTGAAAACCAGGGCTCGGAACCGGTTTAAAAAGAGTGGTTATTTCGATTAATTACCGGTAAATTTATCGCTCCTTCAATTACCGGTTAAAATATTAATCGGTTTTTATTAAACCTAAACGATAAAGGTTACCGGTTACGTAATGGTTTTGACACCCAAATTAACCGGTTAATTCCGTAAAACGTAAAGGCAGTTATGAATAGGACAGGTAGATTCACGTTGTGAGGTGCTTATGCGGCATCGCCGCATGCGGGCATACATCAATTATCTACTTTTAAGTGATACGTTTTCTGCCGACTTCTAAAAAGGAGACGGTACTCAATTCGACTGTATTTTTTTTTGGATTTTTTTTATTTGTGTTACCTCATATCTTTTTACTAGGTGAACCGATTTCGATGATTCTTTTTTTATATGATAGCTAATACTTCTCGTGTAGTCTGTAATGTAATGTGTAATTTTATCAAGGTCAGACCAATAGTTTTTGAGTTATTTTTAATAACTTATATTGAAGTCGGCTGTACAAAATTTTTTATTTTAAATTATTTCAGTCGTGATCAGGGTGCCTAGTGGGAGTTTGGCGTTTACAAAAAACCTGAAAGTATTAGAGAAGTTGTGAAGAAAAAAAGGCAGTTATTGTGTTTGGTATATTCGTTAAGACTGGACTTGTCTCATAACGAAGAAAATAATTTATTCTTGTGTATCGGTTGTTTATTTATGATGGGCAGAAAAAAAATTATTCCATGTTTATGTTTTAACAGTGGTAGAGCCACGCGACAGCTTTTGCTGTCGCATGGATGGGCCAGCTCGAACCAGGGTAGTACCACGACCTCATAGAATACTAGCGTGAAGTAGAAGTTTACTTCTGCGTTTCGCTTGGTAAGCGTAGGTGGTCGGAGCGTACTACTTCTTTGTGAAATTCTTTACCATCGGCGATTTTTCCGGACCGATACGACTTAGTAACCTTCAAGAAAAGAGCTTACTCCTTTCTGAAAGGCCCGCAACGGACCTGCAATTGCCCTGGTGTTGCAGTTGTTCATGGGCGGCCGTAGTCACTTACCATCAGGTGACCCGCATGCTCGTTTGCCCCCTTTTCTATAAGAAAACGTACGACGAGGAAACCCAAAAATCTTAAGTGCTTGATTGAGGGCTGTAATACGACTATCAAGGGGGTTTCTAGAACAATTATTATACCTGGGACCCGGGATTCAAACCCAGGACTAAATCATGATCCACAGTCGCGCTAGTAACCACTAGACCAACGAGGCAGTCGGTAATCGGACCAGTGAAAAGCCCGTCAAAATCGGTGCAGCCGTTTCGGAGATTAGCCGGAACAAAAAGACATAATAATTTTTTTTTTAATATTATATACTTCATAATATGTATTTAGTAAAAATCTGTTACTTTGACGTTACGAACAGACACTGAAATTTTATTTATTTGAATAGTTTCATATTCGTCAAGTATGAAAGTTTGTATTTTGATCTTGAGGCGTCAGAAAAATTGGCTGCACTTTTAATAATTCTCTTTTATAATTCAAAACAAGATCGTAGATATCAGTGTGTTTTATACTGATGATCTTGTTAATTGGGAGTTATTAATAATTATTTTAAATAAAACACAGGATTTTTAGTGTATGTATTTGGTTATAGTCGACAGCAAAGTATTAAGTAAGTAGGTAAGTATTTTTCTTTATTAATTTCAGTATCAGTAAATTTAATTTCATCTATGTGGTTACCTTGCAATCTATTTAGAAAAACTAATATTTTTAGTAGCAGCTTGTACGTATCTAACATAGATAGATAGATAGATAGATAAAGCATTTATTTGTTTCTCCAATCACACACGTAAATTCAGTAACTAAACTAAGTACAAAGTAACATATTCATTATCATCGTTACAGCCTTTTATAAGTCCACTGCTGAACATAAGCCTCCCCCAAGGAATGCCACAAAGCACGGTCCCGAGCCACCTGCATCCATCGACTTCTAGCATATCTTACCAGGTCGTCACTCCATCTCGTGGATGTGGAGGGTCGTCCTACACTTCACCTACCGGTACGAGGCTGCCACTTAAGAATCTTTCTTCCCCAACGGTTGTCGGTTCTTCGAGCTATATGGCCGGACCACTGCCACTTCAGCTTACTAATCCTATGCTATGTCGGTTACTCTGGTTCTACTGCGGATATACTCATTTCTAAGTTTATCCCGCAAAGAAACCACGAGCATAGTCCTCTCCATAGCTCGCTGAGCGACCTTGAGCTTCCTCATATGGCCAGCAGTGAAGGACCACGTCTCAGATCCATAAGTCATCCACTGGCAACACGCACTGGTTGTACAATTTCGTTTTAAGGTTTTGAGGTATGTCTGTCGAGAAGATGTGTCGTAGTGTCCCGAACGCTGCCCAGCCGAGTTGAATCCGTCGATTGACCT